AAATTTCAAGCTCTTCACTAGAACCTATAGATGCTTAGATCACTAAGAAATTTCCATGTCTTATTATATATCTCTTTAGCTTTTAGCATCATTTGGTAGTTTTGTATTACTAAGCTTTTCTAAAATTAGTTTTATTATTTACCATTTCAAGTTAAAGGAAATGATCATGTGCAGTTACCCACATCAATAATGGGAGTTTCTTCGACGTTGCTTGTGAAGTACGGTATATGTGTAATTAGGGGCATGTAGGTCATTGTTTTTATATTAGAGTTTGAAACTCATTTTATAACTTGTATTTGTGAATTATGTTTTAATGTCCAAATGTTTTCTGAACTTATATTTTATTTTGATTTTGAAATTGTTTCATGGTCTTAAATGGTTTGATAAATTTTGAGTTTCCCAAATTTTATTGTGGGTCACTTTGGTGACCCTAATAGGACGCCTAAGATTGGATCGAGTCACCCGTATCAATATGAGGGTGTTACACAACCATATGACAGTGTTCAAGTATAGATTTATAACATAAAAATTACATACAATGCAATCATAACATGACTATTCCATCCAGCCTTCCTTAAATTTTAGTGTGATTAAATTTTACTGAGATCAGAATGCGGATAAATAAAAAAAATATTTACTTAGAAAATAACCTTTAAATAAACTTAATATGGAGTAATTGAAATTATATTTATGACATATGATCATTTTAAAAATTACATAGTCTCACAAAAATAAGTATCCTTAAATTACTTTACACTTGCATGAGTAGGGTGCTAATGAAAACGTAGGATGATGGTTTTTTAATAAATGTGTAATTATAGAGTTTGTACTAATATATTCTATATACACATAATTACTTTGATATCTAATTATTTTGAATTTTTTTTAACGATTAGAAACTACCATCGTAAACTAAATACATAATTTGAATTTTTCCTATAACATTGAAACTAGCCACTTTAGATCATATATGGATCATACATAGAAAAGGTTAAAGAACCCAACCAAGAGACTAAAATAGATACAAATAAAACTGATTGCATCGGAAAATAAATCACAAAAGGGAATTAAGCTATTGAAAGACCATCGAAAAACTCAGATCAAAGCCGAGCGTCGTGAGAAACTATCTACAAACGTAAAATCACGCATCCAAATTCAATTCAAAGGTCTATAGCAGAGAAAATCAACAAGATTTCGAATACAAACTTAAAGTCGGTGCCGTCGCTGGCTAAATAAAATCAAAGAAGAAAAAATTAATCTGATCTAGGAAAAACGATACAAAAAAAAAAAAAGGAAGACAAAAGAGGGAGAGAGCGGCTAAGGAAAGGATGAGTGACTAGGATTTTATCAACTAAATTTATTTTGTAATTGAATAAGATAATCACTGGGCATAAAATATAGATTAAATTATTTTTTATAGTAAAGGGATAAAAAAATTAATATAATACATAGACTTATTATATACTTTAATCTTCTTTTAAGCTAATTGGGAGGGAAAAAATCTCAAAGCTAATCATTAAAGGGAGAACAAAAGAAAGACTTTAAAATTGTGTAATTATTTCATCAAGCATTGTTGGATTTCTACTGTGAGGAGGTTGTCGGTATGTAATTGCAAGAGGAAGGAAATATTGAAAATCGATATTAATATCTTCAGTATCATCAATGATGCTTCCATTAATTCAAATTAAGTTACTCCATTTTCACATAATTAAGATTAGAAAAATAATTTAAATAATGTCAGTGCAGATTTTATATTTTGTATATATTTGGAATTTGTATAGTTCTTAAAAAAACTAAAAGATATAACAGTTTTTTTATTTATAAAAATAATTAATCCAATTAATATAAATTAATTTGATTGATTGAAAATTTGTTAACATTTTAGCAAAATTTTAAGATTTAAGTTTCATCATTAGGAATGTTAAAAATTAAGATTCATTCATAATGTAAATTGTGCAATAAAACACATAAGTAGTGATTTTTTTTAAAAATTTTGAATGTTTGTTGAGAATATTAAATTTAAGGTTTAGATAGATATTTGATAATTTATATAAGCTTAGTGATATTTTTTTTACCCATGAATAATTTAAATAAAGTCATTTTTTTGTTGAAAATTTTCCAATTTTTACCTTTAAATTCTTAACTTTTTTTTTTATTAAAATTGAACTAATTACTATGGAAAAATAGATTTTTTAAACTAACCTCATTTTTTTTATCTTTTTAATAGTATTAATAAATATTTTGCCATAAAAGAAGAAAGATTAAATCAGTAAATTAATCTTTTATTAGCAAAAAAGACGGATCATGAATATCTCAAAAAACTCAATTGAGAAGAGTAAAAAATAAGTAACTATGTTGATTTAAGCGGTAAGCAGTTTGATATCGTTTAAACAAAGTATCCAGCTTGATATCGTTTAAGTAAAGTATCGAGTTTGAGTCCGTGAGTATGTAAAAAATCTCTGTTGAGAGACTCTCTCACCAAAATCAGGTGTACGACGCGAGTCAATCCGGATTAGTTAAGTTAAAGCCTTAAAACCAAGAGTACAACCAAAATAAATAAATAACTATCTTCATTATGATCATATTTAACCATATAATTTGTCGTTTCATTTTTTTTTCCTACTATTAGTTGAAATTATTTACAAATTAAATTATTTTTAAATTATTTTCTCAAAATTATTTGTTTAATTATAAAAACCTTTGTTGCCAAAAATAAAGTTATGCTTTTCATGCCCTTTCACTACGATCAAACATGTATTTTGCACATGAATCAAATTATTTCAGTAGTTAAAAGAATTATTGTTATTCTTAGATGTCTCGGATTCGAGCATCAACGTTTACAACAAAGGTGATTAAGCATTTATTTTTAAATAATTGAGAGTATTTAGAACATATAATAATTTATAATCGCCTTAACTTAATAAAAAAAAGTGCATTTTGCATTCATGTATTCTCATAGGCTCGTCATTATATTCCTAATTGAGTTATTGTTATGTAAATCAACTTACCTTAGTTGTTAAAGGAATCGTCGTTGTTCTTAAAGGTCACAGGTTCGAGCACCAACGAATGTAGTAGGGTGATTGAGCGTTCATTGTCAAATGATAAAAAATATTTAGAACAAATATTACTCTATAATTAACTTAGCTTGATAAAAAAGAAGAAGAAAAATAAGGTATTAATGAACTTGAAAAACATCTGAAGACTATTCTTTTTAATTTTCAGTATAATTTTTTCTACTAAACTAAAGGTGGTTATAATATAATATAATATATGTTTGAAAGACTCGTAATCCATTTGACAACGAACGCTCAAACACCCTTGACATACACAATGTGCTCGAATCCAAGACCTTTTAGGGATAATAAATATCTCTATAACCATTAAGATAATTTGATTCATACTTTTTAGTAAAACTTTTAAATTTAAATAAAATAAAATAAATATATTATTTAGAGATTAAACACAAGGTGGATATATATTTATAAACAATTTTTTACTCATACACCCATAATTGTTTGCTAAATAAATAACCGAAGATTATGTATGTGTGTATATATATATATATATATATATATATATATATATATATATATATATATATATATATATATATATGTGTGTGTGTGTGTGTGTGTGAAAAAGATTACTTATATTTAAGTCTTATTATAGGAGAATACTATAATAATTAAAATTTTGATTTGCATCAGTAAATCCTTTTGTAATGTAATAATATCTCTGTTTTCAGATGTATGTAATAGTAAGTCTAATAATATTTATTTAGAGAATATTATTTTTAGGGTAAATTATAACATTGACCATTCGATTATTTAGTCATTTTTCTTTTATTATTGATTTTTTTAATTTTGTCAATCAAACTATCAAACTATTTAATAGTTGTCAATCAAGTCATTTGTCATTAAAAGTTGACGGAAGTATTGACGTGACAGTTAATAAAATTAGTATAATTCTACACTTAGTCCTCAATACTTGTTTATTTTATTATTTTGATCATAATTTTAATTTAATAAATTTAATACTTTAATCAAATTATGACATGTGTCATAATATGAATGGAGGATATTTTTTAATTTTATTTTTCACCCAATCTGATTGACAAGTGGTTTGATTGACATAATTAAATAATTAGATAGTCTGATTGATAAAATTAAAAGATCAATAGTAAAAAGGTTAAATATTTAAATAATAAATGGTATAATTTACTATTATTTTTATTTATAGTTATAACTTTACTGTAATTACAATTCTTCTGAGGAAAATAATTACCTTATTGGAACATTCTCACTTCCAAACTATACAAATTATTTCTATTTTCCTTTCGTCTTTGTTATGGTTTCCACCTAATATCGATTTACTTCTCTTTTATAAAGTCAAGTATATTTAATTAATTCAACTAATCTTTTCATCGTTGAATTGCTTTTTCTAAAAAAAAATATTTCTATAAAATTACATTTAATGCACGAGTCTAATTAAATTTTAAATTTAATCTATTTTATATGAAAAATACATTCGATGGAAACCGAATGAATTTTTATAATAATAAGGTGAAGAAAAATAATTATTCGAATAATATATACCAAATATTATTTGCCCGAACAGAGTAATTGTTACAGTAAAAATTCAACCTAGTTGTTGCATCAAATATATTAATTGTTAAGGGATAGAGTGCCCCTCCTTAGGTCTTAGGTCCTACCTTTGAAGATTGAAACCTCCCACTCAAGCCCTTCTTCACAAACAAAACCTAACCACTCATTTTTCTTTATTCTAAAATTTACATATAAATATTTAAATGAGTTTATCATGTAGTATTTTTTTAATTAATCGTTAATATTTAATCTATTCATCAAATAATTCAAATTAAATTTTACAAAAACTTATAATAAAGACGATCATTCTGATCTAATTTATAATTTATTTTTGAATAATTGAAGATATAAAATATTTTTGAAATATAAAATATTTTAAAAAAATAAGAGGAAAACCATGAAAAATTTTATTTTCATTAATTGAGAACCAACAAAAGAAGCAACCAACGACCATCCCTACACCAACCAGCTCCTAGCCAAGCCGGCCGGTTCTTCCCTATAAGGTCTACTCTATTAATTACCGTTTATATGGTTCACTTTTTGAGCTATCTATTTACTTTTATATCCCTAGAAAGTTATATTCTTTACATTTTGGCCTTTTTATTTTTTGGATTTTAATTATGATCAGAGATTTAGATCTCACATAACGGAACAGGCGTTGGGATTTTCGTCACTGAACATCTGAGGTGCATGTAGGGGATGACGTGGATCCATCATATACCCTTGATCGGTATGCCCTGGATGAGGATGCAGATACCCTTGATTCGCGTATCCGTAATCCTGATGATGATGATTCCGATACTCTTCGATCGCATAACTCGGACCAGCGTACGCGTTTCCGTCCGACCAGTACATTGGCTGGTTAGGATAGCCGTATCCATGGTACTCCATCTTGCTCACCTCCATTTTCGCTTCACCACCGCCGTCACCTTCTTTCTTCTCTCCGCCGTCTTCTTTTTTCTCCCCTCCTTCCTTTTTCTCTCCGTCGCCTCCTTCCTTCTTCTCGCCTGCTTCCACTGCTTCTTTTGCTTTCTCTTTCTTCTCGCCTGCTTCCACTGCTTCTTTTGCTGTCTCTTTCTTCTCGCCGGCTTCCACTGCTTCTTTTGCTTTCTCTTTCTTCTCACCGGCATCGTCTTTTTTCTCACCGGTGTCGTCTTTCTTAGGAGGAACCACTTCTACATTTCGTCTTAACTTTTGCTTGAGGTAAGGGACCAGGTCTTTCACGTCCATTGTGCCTTTCACGGTTACCAAATCTTTAGCTCCATCGACGTCCACCGATTGAACTCCTGTTTCAATTTTTTTTTTTAAATCATGATTGCCTTTTGTTTAATTAAACAAGATTTCATTATCTTACCTCATTAATTTAATATTTAATTAATCACGATTAATTAACTTACCATCAACCTTCAAGATGATTTTGCGAATTTTATGAATGCATCCATCGCAATGTGTTCTGATCTTCAACACCGCCGTACTCTGTAAATAAATAAACAAAAGTTAACCAAAATTAAAATTTCCTCATATAATTCGCGTGTCTAACTGACATACGCACGTTAGAACAGTTTTTTGTTGTGGCTAAAATTACCTCTTTAGGTGGCTTTTTTTCTTCTTTTTTCTCTTCAGGTTTCTTCTCCGCTTCGGGCTTTTTATCGCCGGCGGCGGCATCTTTTTTAGGTTGAGGAGAAATAAGGTCGACTTTCTTCTTGGTTTTCTCAGCCAATCTCTCTCTGATTTTGGCGGGATCAATTTTGCCAATCACCGTCAGTTTGTTGGCTCCATAATCCGTCTTCACATCTTCCACACCTTTCACCGACAACAACGACGATCCGCGTTAGGTAATTTTCGGTTAGATTTCCAATTACATCAATGTTCCAAATTACTTTTTTTTCTTTTATTCTAATTAAGGTTGAAAAGATAGCACCGACATCCAATTCTATCCAATTTCCGGATCAAAATATGGTGAAGAATCCACAAGGAGTAGCTAAAAGGAATTTCCTCCAAATTTTGAAACATAATTATGGTTTTTTAACTTTGATTAACTACCTTCACAATGCTTAATCGAACGTTTGATCTTCTTGGCACAGCCTTCACAATGCATATCAATCTTGTAAACGGCGGTGACGTTGCCGTCATCTTTCTTAGCGCCGACATTGGCGGCGGGCTTCTTCTCGGCTTCAGGTTTGGCTCCTTCCTTTTGCTGGTAAAAACAAATGACAAAGCAATGTTAAGCAAAACGAGAAACCAAAATCTTTGAAGGATTGAAAGGGGGAAAAACATAGAATGCCCAAGAGCTAGTAACTAACCTCACCCATGGGTTGACTGAAATTCTATTGGTTTAACTGGGAGAATGAGAGTGTTAGTAAAGACTAAAGAGCTGGTAGAAGGGGAGAACTGCAGGCAAAGAAGCTCTAATATATAGACAAGAGAGGCGGTTTATGGGCTATGTATGATAATGTTGTATGTTATGTATGGTGGCCCAGGAAATGTATCATGATGATGGGTTTGGCATATAAGTAATGAAGTCATCGAGGGTGGGGTAAGCCGCTTTTTGACTGCATCCTGAATGTTTATCTCAATGACGAAATTACCCTTATCAATGGGGTTAATTACATGATTGTTCACTTGTGTTTGAATTTTGTCCACTTTTACACACTAATTTCAAAAAATATAATATATTATCACTTTTATTATTATTTAGTTAAGATGTGGTTGTCATGAGTTAACCATCGTTAATAGATAACGGATTAAATGACGTGGTATTTTAGTATAATCACATATTTGGTCTATGTTATTTACATATTCTCTCAATTTAGTCATACTTTTAATAAATTAAAATAAAATTAATCTCTCAATCAAATGATAGTATGTGTAATTGGTACCACATGTCGTGCTACATATCACCGTTCAATTTGAAGACTAACTTAATTGAAAAATATTTTATGTTTATTTTAATTTAAAAATATACATTAAATTCATAATATTTTATATATTTTTATATTAAGTTAGTCCTCCAACCAAATAGTGAAACGTGGCACGACATATGGTACCAATGACACGTGACATTATTCAATTGAAAGATTAAATTTATTTTAATTTATTAAAAATTGGGTTAAATTGAGAGAATGTGTAAATAATATGAAGCAAATATGTGATTATATTAAAACACCACGTCACATAATACGATAATTGTTAACGGTAGTTAATCTGTGGTGACTAAATCTTAATTAAATAAAAACGAAAGTAATTGTATCTTAATTTAATAAAACGAAAGTGGTCGTACATTATTTTTTTTTTTTGAAACCAACGAGGAAAAACGGACAAAACACAAACATAAATGATAGATCATGTTATTAACCCAAAATATCATATTTAAGCTATTTTATTCGGATAGTTTTGGGATTTCACTATACATCTCACATGTGTGACGGAGACCGGAAAGGTTGGTGAGTTTGAAATTTAGGGGAAGAACGTTTTAATAGGCCGTAATTGAAGTGAATCCACGTGAATATATTTAAGTGGTTCAATATTATTTTAATTTATAAATAAAATGAGATTTGAAATATATAAACATAGTGTCCCAACCGTCTTTCGGGTAGGCTCAAAATTGGGCTTCGACTTAAAATAAAAGTGTTAGAGCCGTCACCGATCATTTAAAAATAATATTTAGGCTGATCGGATACCATATTATCTTATCTGCGTTTTACCAGAAATATGTCGCGTTCGGGAGTCGGTTACAGTCAAGGAAGGATTAACACCCTTGTAATGCCCTTTCGGTACCAATTAATTTATCGGTTATCTAAATTGCGAAAATTAAAAATTTAAATTAAAATTAAAAAACCCGATTCAAATTACTTACCTTTGATTGGTTAAAGTTGTCCCTAAAAAGTCAAGATAAATATTAAGTGGTAAAATATATAAATATAAAATAAATAAATAAAGATAAAAACGAAATAAAAAAGAAAAAAAAAGTTGAATTTTGCAAGTAAAAAAATCTCAAGAAAATAAATATTAATAAAGTATAAAAAATCGAAAAATAAATAAATACATGAACAAATCAAAATCAAAAGGATCAAATTGAATTAAATTGGAATTCAATGACTAAAATTAATGCTAAAAAATGAACTGCAAGAGAAAAACACAAAAATAGGGGTTAATTCGTAAAATATAAAAAAATAAACAAGGATTAAATTGATTAAATTGAAAATTCGAAGGCAAAATTGAAAAATGTGACCAAAATTCGTAAAATATTTTTAAAAACTATATATTATATATATTTTCAAATATTTTCAAAAACTATATACTATATATATTTTCAAAATCGTTTTCAAAACTATATAATATATGTTTTTCAAAAACCGTTTTCAAACTATATAATAAGTATTTTTTAAAAAAACTGATTTTTTAAAAACTATATTATTATATATTATTAAAATGAGTGTCTACACATTGTATGTTAAAAGTAGGATAAACTATATATTTACTCATTTAATATTTTGTGGTTTCATTTTGGCCACACAATTTATTTTTGCAAAATCACACTCAAAAGAAAATAAGTATAATTGTTGACTTGACATTATCTTATGATGATATGTTAATATCTCCGTTAAGTTTTTAATGACAAATGATCAAAATAAAATAAAATATAAATTTAGATATAATTTTAAAAAAATAATTAAATAACCAAAATAGAATCGTAAAAGTAATCGAATAACTAAATATGCAGTTTACCCTAAAAGAAGTAAGTGAAACCACAGTAATTAAGATCGGGGAGCGGATTTTTCAAAGAAAATTATTTGTAAACCGTTTATTAATGAACCTAAATAGCGTTTTTATTACAATACTCTAGAAGTTTTAAAGTTGTGCTAGAATATTTCACTTGAATGTTTGACGATAAGTGTTGGGTTATAATGGTGTGATCCATGAGTGTCGCATGTAGGTTTTGTTGTTTCTACTTAAGGTGGGAAATCCCTTTCAGGGTTCAATTTTGTTTACTTTTATTTACATATTTTTCTTAAGAGAAATCTTGATTCATGAGGCTCGGATGGACCTAGGTAGGCTCGGATAGACTAGGTAAGGTGGGTGAGAGCAGTCGTCCACATAAAAAATTTAAAATATATAATAATTTATCACCTAACTTAAAATTTTTTAAATTATTATATATTTTAAATTTTTTATATATAATTTTTTAAAATATATTTTCGTCATATTAAAATTTTTTAAATTCAAATTTATCTCCTAATTTAAAATTCTACGTACGTATATGATGGGCTGATGTTTGGACTTTTCTTGATGAATAAGGCTGCACTGGACTTTTCTTGATGAATAAGGCTGCACGACTCACATTTCGGCTTCCATTTATTACTTTCAATCTATTCTTTTTCTTCCCTTGTTTGCGTATGGATGGAGATTTTTCATATAAATAATGTGCAAATTGCAAACATAAATTAGTAAATGAATCAAAAACTCAAAAAAAAAAATATTTACTCGTGTTATACCGGCCCATAATAATGCTAAAATTAAAATGGTAAAGTATACAAATGGTATCTCAATTATAGGTACTGCTTTATTATATTTCTTAATTATTAAAAGTTACAAAATGGTCATCGGACTATAGAATGTTGCTTTGTTGAGTCTCTCGACTATCAAAAGTTATAAAATGATCATCTGATTATTCATTATGTTTTAAACTCGTCTTTTTTCGTTTTAAAATTTGTGGTTGTCTAAGTTGCACGTTAACATGATGATTGGGATATGATAGACGTTTGAGATTCTGAGATCATATTTTATCATTTCAGAGCCAGCAAGTTAACGCTCAGCTCAAAATACCGTCAATATTTGAACGAAAAAAGATGAGTTAAGAACATAATGACTTTTGGTAGTCGAGGGACACAACAAAGCAACACTCTATATTCAGAAGATCATTTTATAACTTTTAATAGTCGTGAGACTTAATAAAGTAGTATCTTATGGTCGGGAGACTATTAGTATACTTTACCCAAATTAAAAATAATATTTTTTTTAAATTTAATGATCTTCGGTTGGATAACAATAATTTTAAAAAAAGTTTAATATTATTTTAAATTTAAAATAATCATTTTGATCCAATATGAACAGATATATTTTTAAGTATATATTTTATCATATTTATGGAAATGGTAGTGCGTATATATACACTTTACAATTTCTTTCTTTTCCACATTTCATTTTATTGTTGAATGTTGTTGTCTCCCTCCTAAAACTCTTTTATCGTCACTTCGTTTTCATTCTTATTCTCCTCTCTATTTTCGATTTTATGTTTTTTTTCTAAAATTTTGACAACCCAAAACTTATATCCATCGTGCAGGATCATCCAATCTCTGAACTTTGTCTATCTTCCCTTAAAAGTTGCCTTCAAACACAACCAAATTATATTCATTTTGGTCCTAGTAATTCAATTGTTAATTAACTTGAAATCAAGTTAGTTTGCATTTCTTACGTCAGTGTGAGGTTAATTTCACTTCGATTACTTCTTCGCTTATAAATTTTTAATATGTAACACGTCAAATTCAATCCAAGTATTTAATGGGTTCACGAGTGTCACGTTCGGTCCACTAAAACGACTTATCAAGTTATCATTTTAAAACTTTAAATTCGTTGATTTAAATCAAATGATGATGAAAACATAAATACAGTTATAAAATAGTTTATACAAAATCAAAGTTTTAAAGTTTAAATAGTATGAAGTATAAATCAAGAGTTTACCAACTGTCTCAAAGGCAGAGTCTAGAGAGCATTTGCTCTTCGATTGTAGTTTTGCAAAAGGTCTATGGGGTGCCATTCTTGCTTTATGTGGTATATTCCGTAGGGTCAGTAGTTGGTATGGGGAATTGGCTTGGGTGACCTACTGTCTCAAAGGTAAATCTCTCATTGTGAGAGTGTTTAAACTTGTTTAGGCAGGTCATGTTTACTGCATTTGGAAGGAGCGAAACAACAGGTTATATGGGGGTAAAGCAAGGTCGGTGGATGTTGTATTACAGGATATCAAGGAAGTTGTTCGGATTCGGATGGAGAGGAAGACTGTCAACAGAGCTGACCCGAGAAATGTTGCCCTCTGTGTAAACTGGGGTATATCTTAAGCTGAGAGTTTCTGTCCTTTGTTTTTACCTGTTGTGTTGGTTATTTAGCATACGTTGGCTGCTCAGGCTTTGTATTTTTTTGTTTATTGTATGCTGTAATTTGTAGCAGGTCTCCTGCTTTCTTAGGTAATGAAATGGAATTATCCACACACAAAAAAAAATCAAGAGTTTACGTACTGAAATCAAATTAATAAGAGTCCTACCACAAGCATGTCACTACAGAGAATAAGGTTTATACTCTGAATCAAGTAATGTTGAAATTCCTCTGAATATGTTGAATGTCTTGATTCT